CTCTCGACAGGAGCTGCCATGCACAGGCCAACCGGCCTATTGCAGACTCCTTATTTTCTTATGTTCTTATCTTTGACCCGGTAATCCGTCCGTCTCAAGGTGATCTCAGGCCGGCTGCTACTGAGTAACTTTCACTAGATAATAGTGGGTGCAGGGATTGTGTAGTTACTCTGGGTGTCTACTGATGGTTTCTACTGGTGGTCCCAATGGGTGGTTTCTATGGATGGGGGGAGAGAGGTAGGAAGGGGTGAGAAAGAGGGGGAGGAAGAGAGGTGAGGGTGATGGGGTCACTCAGATGATGGGAGGTAATTGGGTTAGGTTGTGTGGTGTCAGCTGAGAGCCTCCCCTCAAGCGGGTACTTGAATATGCACTCAAGTCTTGACTCAGTTTACTTAGGAGGTCAAGTTTATGTGGTGTGTTTGTAGTCTGACCATTGTATTATGCTGTGTGTCTGTTGTGTTGGTCTGTGTCTTGTGGAGAGAGAGAGAGAGCGAGCACGGCAATACACGAGGGATTCTCACCTTACAGGATGCCAGGAAACTATGTGATTGGTCGAATCCTGTGACGTTACTATAAAGAGGGTACTCACGTGGCGTTTTAAGTAAACCAGGGCATGTGCGTGTGTGTGTACATATTCATCCATACACCAGCAGCAGATAACGCCACACTCCGTGGTGAACTAGTTACATGAAACGTGTAGAACGAACGAGAAAGCTTAATATTATCTCTTACTAAACCGCCTGTGGCAACACACACACACACACACACACCGCTATGATCGACGGTGTTGGTAAATATGTTGTGTTCAATACGTAAATGACTCGCCACATCATAAGCGAAGGTTGTTGGTCTGAATAATAATAGCTGTTCGTATAACTTGTGACGTCATGAAAATATTCTAAACATCGTTCATGTAGCATTAATGACGTCATGAAGTACAACACTACCAGTAATAAGAATCATCGTTCATGTAGCATATTGTGACGTCATGAGGCACCACACACAAACCAAGGCTGGTCCACGGCCGCCAGGACACTGCCCCTCACCTGGACTCCTTATGTCAGGGATTATAAAGATCAGGTGAAGAAGCGGGGAAGAGAGAGCCGAGCGGGGAGTAGAGCTGTGGGATTTTATGTTAGTGAGGTGTGAAGTAACATCCTGGTGGTGGTGGTGGTTAGGTGAGGTTGCGAGATCACCGTTTATAAGGCCAATAGTGACGTGTGTGTGTTACTTGGAAGATGTCATGTGGTGGTGGAAGAGGTCATGTGGTGTTGGGAGAGGTCATGTGGTGGTGGAAGAGGTCATGTGGTGTTGGGAGAGGTCATGTGGTGGTGGAAGAGGTCATGTGGTGTTGGGAGAGGTCATGTGGTGGTGGAAGAGGTCATGTGGTGTTGGGAGAGGTCATGTGGTGGAAGAGGTCATGTGGTGGGAGAGGTCATGTGGTGTTGGGAGAGGTCATGTGGTGTTGGAAGAGGTCATGTGGTGTTGGGAGAGGTCATGTGGTGTTGGAGGGTCATGTGGTGTTGGGGAGAGGTCATGTGGTGTTGGAAGAGGTCATGTGGTGTTGGGGAGGTCATGTGGTGGTGAAAGAGGTCATGTGGTGTTGGGAGAGGTCATGTGGTGGTGAAAGAGGTCATGTGGTGGAAGAGGTCATGGTGGTCATGGTGGTGGAAGAGGTCATGTGGTGTTGGGAGAGGTCATGTGGTGTTGGAAGAGGTCATGTGGTGTTGGGAGGTCATGTGGTGGTGAAAGAGGTCATGTGGTGTTGGGAGAGGTCATGTGGTGGAAGAGGTCATGTGGTGGAAGAGGTCATGTGGTGGGAGAGGGTATGTGGTGGGAGATGTGTCATGTGGTGGTGGAAGAGGTCATGTGGTGGAAGAGGTCATGTGGTGGGAGAGGTCATGTGGTACTGGCGAGAAAGTTGCCTCTGAAGTCGCAGTGTTGACAATTATATTCTTGAGTTATCGTTATAATGTGTTGCGTTTTCTCATGATCTCACAGAAAACGGAGTAATTTACGTGTAGGGAAACTATACAAAACACAGACGTCTCACCAAGTTGTATTTATATGTATATTTCCATAGTTAATTAGCGTACTATTCATATGTCTTGTTATTGTCCAGTGTTAGTACAGGAGGGACCTGAGTACCTGGTAAAATGCTGCCTTGTTCGGTAGTGTTGCACAGAATAAGACTTTCTCTTTGATTTTTTTCCCAGTTTATTTATTCTCTACTGTTTAGAACTTTAGAGATAAGTGATATGATAAACGAGAGAGAGAGAGAGAGAGAGAGAGAGAGAGAGAGAGAGAGAGAGAGAGAGAGACTCGCTACGTTTAATTAATCTCTTAATATTTACAGACAAGAACGAGACCTTACGAGTGGCCGCCCACGAACGTCTCGGGGAGGTGTTGAGGATCTTGAGGTCTATCTTAGAGAAATACAGCCCCATACAACACAATGAGCTCCTCGCTGCTGCCTCTCACCTCATATCACACGTTAATGGTGAGTTTTATTCTACTGGTCTATCTCTCTTGCCTTGAATCATCCCAACACCAGACATAACCTCCCTAAATAAGACCAAACACTGATATACTCTTAAGTTAACCGTTTCGTTTCCGTTTTCTTTTATGTGTGAGAGAGAAAACTATTTTATTAGGGCAAACTATTTTATGTTTAAGTTAGTTGTATTATTTACGAGTGTTTATGGTCTTCGTCTGTGGTCAGTAGGTCGATTTGGTCATTGTTACACGCTGTTGTTAAGTAGAGAGAGGGAGAGAGAGTCTCATAACAAGTGTGAGAGGAAACAATGGTCGTCTCTCAGTCAGCGTGTGAGTGAGACTGGTCGCCGTGTACAGTGTGGCAGAAATTAGTATAGAGAACATTACCGTACATCATCACACCCTGTAAACATCTCCATGACGACGAGCCAAACGTGTTCCAGCGTCTTGTGTCACATAATTCAGCGGAGGTGACAGGATTATTTATATTTATCTCTTGAGTGGAGATGTAAGAACGTTTACTTGACGCTGATGGAACTAAAACTGTAATACAGGAATATACTGGAACTTGAGATGACGTGAAGATTAGGTACTATAGGTTATTTGGCCCGATGATTTAACCACCCTAACGCTAACCTGACCTCAACTTACTTAACCTAACTTAACCCTGCCATCTTAGTTCAGTGCAACACCCCAGCTAAGTGCACTTCCCTCCTCCCTACTTCACTCGCCCTGTCTGGCATAAATCCCCGCCAACTCTCCCATGCCACCAATTAGAAAAAGGCAAGATGCATGCAGGGCAAAGTTACAGGCTGGCAGGTGTTGTCCCGCGCCGAGTTCCCCAGTTTAGGGTGTTAGTGCTGGCTTGTTGACATGGCGGCCCGCTTCCTGCCACACCCGACCTTACTTGGGGTTACTGCAAGGCTGGGAAGTGTGTGTGTGTGTGAGAGAGAGAGAGAGACTGTGTGTGTGTGTGTGTGTGTGTGTGTACCATACTTTATGAAGACGTGACTATAAATAATGAGTTAACACATTCACAGCAAATTATTACAAATGAAGTGTAATAAACTCAACAAGATCTGTAGCTTGTTGACGTCAGTGTGGCGCTCACCAGTGCATAAATGATGACGACTTATTGGTAGAGAATGAGGGAACTAAATAATAATAACGTGTTCCTAGCGTCGTGGGCAACTTAACACGTGTTCCTAGCGTTGGGAGCAACTTAACACGTGTTCCTAGCGTTGGGAGCAACTTAACACGTGCCTCCGACTTTCAGTTATTCTGGCAGGAATATTTTTCATCACCTGGTTGTTTTAAGGTGATGTTTGGTGATAAGGTGATAGTGTTGGTATGGTGATGGTATGGTGATAGTGTTGGTATGGTGATGGTATGGTGATAGTGATGGTATGGTGATGGTGTTGGTATGGTGATAGTGTTGGTATGGTGATAGTGTTGGTATGGTGATAATGATGGTATGGTTAAAGTGTTGGTTTGGTGATGGTATGGTGATAATGATGGTATGGTGATAATGATGGTATGGTGAAAGTGTTGGTATGGTGATAATGATGGTATGGTGATAATGATGGTATGGTGAAAGTGTTGGTATGGTGATAATGGGTATGAGTGATAATATGGTATGGGTAAGTGTTGGTATGGTGATAATGATGGTATGGTGAAAGTGTTGGTTTGGTGATGGTATGGTGATATGATGGTATGGTGATAGTGATGGTATGGCGATAGTGATGGTATGGTGATAATGATGGTATGGTGAAAGTGTTGGTTTGGTGATGGTATGATGATATGTGATGGTATGGTATTAATGATGGCATGGTGAAATATTGGTTTGTGATGTGATGGTATGGTGAAAGTGTTGGTTTGGTGATGGTATGGTGATAATGATGGTATGGTGAAAGTGTTGGTATGGTGATAATGATGGTATGGTGATAATGATGGTATGGTGAAAGTGTTGGTTTGGTGATGGTATGGTGATAGTGATGGTATGGTGATAGTGATGGTATGGCGATAGTGATGGTATGGTGATAATGATGGTATGGTGAAAGTGTTGGTTTGGTGATGGTATGGTGATAGTGATGGTATGGTGATAATGATGGTATGGTGATAATGATGGTATGGTGATAGTGATGGTATGGTGATAGTGATGGTATGGTGAAAGTGATGGTATGGTGATAGTGATGGTATGGTGATAGTGATGGTATGGTGATAATGGTGGTATGGTGATAATGATGGTATGGTGATAATGATGGTATGGTGATAGTGATGGTTGTTTGTGGTAACGTGTATAATAAAGGTGCAGTTGGCGAGTTGTCCGGTCTTCTCGGGCTATTCCTTGACACTGGGTCATGCAGCTCGTTAACTTAGGGTGTGGTTGTTGTGTTGGCCCTTGGGCTGGCCATCCTCGTTACACGAGGGGCATCCATTATTATTATTATTAGTGATAATTAAGATGCTAATAATGCTAATGAAGATATGATGTCGAGCTGAAATACAGTATGTGAGGTTGAAATCCCTTGATGTGACGTATAAAATCCCATATGAAGCTTAAATCCCTTCAGGTGAGGATAATTCCCTCGTAACACCAGTGAACGCGGCCTTGAAATCCCGAGGAGCGTCGTCTGGCCCTGAACGGAGAGCCAAATGAGGTGTAAATTGTGGGCGAGGGGAGCAGGCTGCAGCTTGACTCTAATATATTTGTCCAAGCTGGGTAAACAAGCTGTCACCTGGTGTGTGTTTTTTTTCTTATTTGTGTTTTTTTCTTGATTCCTTCGTGTTTTGGGAAAGAAGGGAATGGGAGGATAACTCACTCTAGGTTAGGTTAGAGGAGTGGTGATGGTGGTGTGTGTGAGAGGAAGGGGGAGTGAAATTTAGGGGGTCATATGAGAGATTCAGTGATGGTACAATGTTCTTGGAAGGTGTGTGTGTGTGTGTGTGTGCGCGCGCGCAAGACGCATATAGTTTGTCACTGGACCCAAAAATTTCGTGTTCATGCCAACCTTTACACTCACGTTCTGAAATAACAGCTTTGGTTAACAGCCCAGAATCATGTAGAGTCGTAGATAATCCTTTGCTACCACCAGCTGACAGTTGAAGATGACATTTCCATACAATGACTTTGTGAACATGCATCCAAGGAACTATTCATTAAGTCATGTAACCAGGGTCTGAAGTAACACCAGCTTGTAAACAACTAAACTTAATAGGTGTACAGACCAGAGCCAGCCTTAGGTATAAGGCAAATGCTAAGCTCCCCAGTAACAGTGTCAAGCTCCCCTGGTGATAGGTACAGCAAGGCTACACTTGTAGACCCTGCACACTGGCCATCTCTCCAGTCAAATAAGAGCACCATAACGGGTTAAGCAAAGTTTTACTTTTCCAAAACAAAATTATGGGAGATGTCATCACCATGAGTATTTTAATGGTCTTAGTCAATGGGGGAAAAATCAAAAGCTGGCTAATGTATTCCAAGAAAAATGAGTCTTTATTGCTTCTGTTTTAAAATGTTTTCTCAGAAGGATTTCAAATTGAATAAAGGAGGATTCAGGGATTGGAAAAATTTTCAAAAAATAAACTTTATATACATTTTTTTCTCAACTATGTAATGGACATTCAACTAACTTACACACACAGCAAAAATCACCAATATATATATATATATATATATATATATATATATATATATCTTGGATAAAATGAAAGGGGGAAACAACGAGTACCTTAGCTGCCTTTTATTCAAGACATCTTCAGAGGCAACTGACATATATGGACAGAGAGAGGCAAATATACAGGGTGACCTTAAAAAACATGAGTCAGGTTATAATGATAATATCCACTAATTCTCCACCAACACACACGTAGAGAGACAGAGAAGGGGGGGATGACTAATAGGTCAGGTTGGGTCAAAAATAAGGGACTCACTAACAATTATCACATATCTAGATCAAAGTCAAAGCATTAACCTTGGGCTACTGACAAATAAATTTATGTAACATATCGTTTTTGGAACCTACATTGTTTATATACCTGTTGAACTGTACACTGCATTGCTATATACATGCTGGAGTAAGATATACACACATATATACATATAGTAGTAGTAGTATCGTTACATAATGAGAGAAGAAGTTAACAAGACTGGTCGACAACAGCTGGTGGTGGGCGGTGTGGTTCATTCTGGAGATGAAACAACCACTGTGACGGTAACCATCGTGATGGATGCTAGGATTCCTTCCACCTTAGGTTAAAACTCAGTCAAGATAACGAGTTGTAGAGCCGATGGGCATTTAACCCAGCTGTAGGTGTGATAATACGCACACACACACACACACACACAGGTAATCCATTATATTTTATTTAAAATTAAAGAGAGGAAGCAACATGAGAGTGAGGAGAGAGAGGAAGCAACATGAGTGAGTGGAGAGAGAGTGAAACAAACATGAGAGGAGTGAGAGAAAGTGAACACATGAGAGTGAGGAGAGAGGAAGCAACATGAGAGTGAGAGAAAGTGAAGCAACATGAGAGTGAGTGAGAGAGGAAGAACAGGAGAGTGAGGAGAGAGAGGAAGAACATGAGAGAGTGAGAGAGGAAGCAAACATGAAGTACTGAGACGATGAATACTATATTCTAGCTCACATACTAATAACACTGACCTGTCTGGAGGGATGCCGGGGCTTAGTTTAGGTTTTATGACAGCTTCAGGTTTTGTTACTGGCGAAAGCTATTTCTCACCCTGAAGAATAATCACCCCAACCAGTTTTCACTAAGATGACCTAACCTAACCCGACCAACTGTGTTATGTAAATATTGTATCGCTTTAAGACTCGAACTGACCAGTGTTATGTCTTGGTTTAGCAATCACCATGTAAATGCTGATTAAAGGGAAGCAGAGGAGCATAACACATGGTCCAGTCTATTGATCCACAGAGAGATGTGTAGGTGTTGGGGAGTGTAGAAGGCAAGGGGGAGGTGTAGAGGACAAGCTGGGGAGGG